GCAAGCTGAAGAGAGGAATGACACACATTATTAAAAATGTCCCTAGACCTAGTGAGCTGCGCGAGTTAAGTGTGGTCTCTCGAGAATTGCAGTATACATGTACATCAGAAGTGCTACCAACTTCTGATACAATCGTTACAAATACGAATGTTTTCTGACGTATCTATTAATTACCAGGTTTCCCATACCGCAGTCAAATCGTTATTGGCAGCATCGTATATCGGGTATTTTTAATTTTGCGCCGCCTCCGAAAACTGAAATGTATTTGGTATCCTATTTAACGATTAAGTAGATATTATTAATAGCTATGGAATATTGCTATAAATGAAATAGAAATTATTTGACACTTTTTAGTACATTTCGAAGTCGGATGTTTTTTTTGTTAAAAATTATTTTATTGTACAATAGAGTCAGAATTTAATTTTCGGTTCGTCCTCAGTTGGTCATAAATTGAGTTCCGTCGTTTGATTATTACAGTAAAGACTCTTCTAAACCATAAAGAGTCTTCTACGAAAACTCTCCCGCCATACTCATTATCAGTACCTTTTTCCAGGTTATATCATAAAATACGTCACTCATCGACGTTCATACCCTGACAACAATTCATACATAGAATTCAACAGTTTAGTTGCATTCAGGATAACATCGAAGCTAATCATAAAGGTAGTTTAAAGTTAGCACTGTTCTTTGAATTCGGGATTAATAGTGTGATTTTGTGTTACTTAATATGAATATGGAATCAAATCATGATGTATTCTCAGTATTCAAAGATAATAATATTCCTTTCAGGAGTTATGACATTGTTGTGGAGAAATGGGTTGTTGCACTCGGGCGTGACATATCTGATTCGGAACAGTTTGAAATGCGTGAAAAGTTAAGGAAATTCAATAATAATTTGGTGTCAAGATGGTCTTCCGCTGGTCGACAAATGGATCGGTTTATAACAAAAAATGAAGAGTGGTTAAATTTGAATTTCACTTTTCCGGAAGGAATGTCTTTAGTTCGGCCGTCATGTTCTACAAACACTTCTCCTGCACAACTTAAGCCTTTTGAACAATTATCGGAACGCCAAAAAAGAACAAGAACCGAGATATTTAGGACATGTACCGAGGAAGGATTTCATTTCGTCACTAAGAAGAAAATTAAATTCAATGATGCTCACTATATAATAGATTTTATACAACAGCACCCAGAACATGTAAAATTTGCTGTGAAAATTTGCTACGTCCAAAAGTACATCATAAAGAAGAACAATTTTTAGGATTGTATGCTGCTGCAAACCTAACCCGATTTCAATATAACGCAATAAGAGAAAATGCTGCAAATCTTGACCACCATTTTTATCCTAGCTATTATACAATTCAGAAATTAAAAAAAGACAGTTACCCTTCCGAAGCATCCATAAACATCACAGAAACTGGAGCAAGAATACAATTACAAGGACTCTTAGACCACGCCGCATCCCGTTTTCTTACATTTCTGTCGGATAAAATAGCAACAAATATTCCTCAGAATTTAACTTTAATTATAAAATGGGGCTGTGATGGAGCATCAAACCAATCTGTTTACAAGCAGCAGTTTATTTTACACACTGAGGATGATTCCACCGTTTTTATTAGTAGTTTAGTGCCTATAAGTGAAATAATGTATTTCCAAAAAAAAAAAAAAATTGAGTTTGAGTGGACTCGAACCTACGAAAAGAAGTTTCCAGCGGTTTAGCAGTCAGACGCTTTACCACTGGACCACCGATACCGTTGAAAATACCTTTAATCTTTTGAAATATAACGGACGTAAAGTACTTTTATCAATTATGTTTATTTAGTTTAATTCCTATTCTATTCCACTGCATGTAAAAACATTGAACAGTGTATATACCATGTATGTGATAAATAACAGACGAAAATTCGTCGAATAAGTAACTCTAACACGCAAAAAACAGCGAAAAAATCGGTTTTTAATTTTTTAAACTATGGCGCACCTTTCCAAAAAATCTGAAAAAAATTGAGGATGATAGTATCAATAATATACACTTATAAAATAAATATGATCGTAGGACCTCAGGTCCTTCAATACAAAATCGCCATTTTTCAGCATTTTTTGAAGTTTTTGATTTTTCACGGCTTCAGTTTTCAATCTACAAATCTGAAAAAATTCTGTAATATATGCCTCACAAATGGACATGTCTCTGATTTTTTTCAGAATTTTCGACTGTCATTAAATGGGAGAAATTGGCCAAAAACCTCGCAATTACATTTTTACCCGTAACTACCCTCCCAGATAATATACAGGGTTGAAACTTGGCACAGACTGGTTTTTTTTTATCACCTATCGAATGGTTCATAGCAAGTCGAATTTGGTTTGGGGGCACTTTTGACCATCTTATCCGGCTATACCCTTTACTTTGGCTAATGAAAATTGATCCGTTTCTCAGTCTGTAAATTTCTATCCCAAGGAAATTCGTTACGTTTTTCGTGCTTGTCATCTTAGAATTCTTACCTAGTTCAAAAATCAGTTTATCTATTAAATGATCGTGCGACGCTGCCACAAGCCCATCATCAACATAAACCGCTAGAAAAATTTTTCCATCGTTTTCATCATAGATATAACACACGAGTCGGCTGAACTTTTACTAAACCCAAATCTTTTAATAAAATTGCTAAAATGTTCGGTCCAGCATCTCGGAGCTTGTTTCAGCCCATATAAACTTTTTAACAACTTACAGACACTTGCTGTTCCATCATGAAACCCTTCAGGTTGTTTCATATATATCTCCTCGTATAAATTTCCATACAAGAACGCAGTCTTTATGTCAAACTGAGCCAAACTCAAACCATTACACGCAGCAATACTTAATAAAAATCTCACGGTATCATAACGGACTACCGGACTGAATGTTTCTGAATAATCAAGCCCTTGTATTTGCGAACATCCTTTTATCACTAACCGCGCCTTAAATCGTTCTGTATTATCGGGATTTGTTTTCTTTGTGAAAACCCAGCGACTACTAATAATTTTGCGATTTGCAGGTTTTTCAACCAACATCCACGTTTGATTTTCATGTAAAGCATCCATTTCTTCTTCCATAGCATTAATCCAAAAATCTCTATCATTACAATTAACTGCTTCCCTATAATCAGAAAGTAATTTTTCTGTACGAAAAGTAACCGGGCAACCGTAAAATTCTGTCTGTTTGATCGTTCGCCTATCACGAAGCTGTTTTACGTTGTCATTCTCGATTGAAGATTGCAAAGGCTGTTGTACTGGATCTTCTCTGTTATTGATTTCTATATCGACTTGTGTATTTGTTAAACTATCTGTACTCTCAACAATATCTAAATCTTCCCTGACCTTGTCGCTTTCTTGAAATGTATTTACATCAACGTTATTTGCTATTAGTCTCTCCGGTTTAAATAATACATCGCGGCTCAACACTACGTCTTGTAAACTAGGCACATAAACGCGATACCCCTTGCAATTTTCAATATACCCTACTAAATACCCTTTTACAGCTTTTCTGTCGAGTTTTCTTCTCTTTTGATGCGGTATATGAACAAAACATTCTGTTCCGAAAATTTTAAAATGCTGTATATTTGCCTCTTTGCCATACCATAATCCATAGGGGGTCTGACCTGGCTGTTTTGATGGTCCCGATCTGTTAATGACATACGCAGCTGTATTCGTCGCTTCAGCCCATAAGGACAAAGGTAATTCCGGCTTGGAGTATAACATCGACCGCGCAGCCTCGACTATAATTCTATTTTCCCGCTCAGCGACACCATTCTGTTGAGGCGTATACGGAACATTTAGGGTATGTTTTATGCCTTTACTGCACAAATAACGCTCGACGTGCCTATTCTTGAATTCTTTTCCGCCATCACTGTGAATTTCTTTTACGTTTTCCCCGAACAGATTTTCAATTTCATTGCAAAATATTTGTAATTTATCAATTACTTCTGATTTTTGCTGCATAAAATAAATTTGTCTAAACCCAGATTAATCATCCTTAAAAATGAGAAAATATCGTTTCTTGCCAATCGATTCATGCTCCATTGGCCCACATACGTCGGCATGTATAATCTCGCGACATTTCGTAGCACAATCGCTTCTATTATGAAAACTAAGTTTATGATGTTTTCCATACGCACACCCTTCGCAAAAAACGCTATCTTCTATTACATGAATCCCCTTATTTTTCAAAAAAAATTTTACATGTTTAAAGTTTTGATGGCATAATTTTTCGTGCCATACGTGTAAGCTTTCGTTGCAGGATGTAATGTCTACTTTTTCGCTATTAACATTTCCAGCCAAATTACATTTTTTCGGTGTCACAACGCGTAAATTTACTTTGAACAAATCACCCCAAATAGAGCCGGTCGCTATAACTGCTCCGTCGCGTGAAAATACACATTTTTCTCCATACTCGGTAATCGCGTGATCAACCCCTTTCCTAGTAACGGTAATTATTGAAAACAGATTTTGGCTTAACTGCGGTACAAATAAAACGTTGTACATAATACCCGGTATCCATTTACCATCTACATATGTTTCAATTTCAACATTACCTTTTCCATACACAGGAGTAAGCTCTCCATTACCTAACCGAACGGTAATCGGCTCTTCAAATTTCTCGAAGTCGCTGAAGAAATCTCGTCGGTGTGTCATGTGATCGGTTGCTCCAGAGTCGACCAGCCAGATGTCTTTATTGGAAATGAGGTAAATAAATCAGTGTAACAGTTTATATCTTTCTAAAACGATTTTATTCTAAGGCTTGGAAGGACGTCTTCACTGCTTGAAAATACGACACGAAGTGGCGGAAAAGCCAGTAAGGGACAAAACGGAAAGTCCGTTACCCACTTATACATTCTAAGAAATCAGGACTGTATTCGGTCTGTTACCCAGACCCTTAGGTAATAAACAGTCTCAGGCCTATGGATCTGATGACATCTGGTCTAAACAATATAAGTAGAAAGTAGGCAGTGTTTCTCAAATATAAAATGAATTTATTTTTGCTTCCTAGCTGACGCGTTATTGTTATTATCAATAATCCAACAGTCTTCGCCCTTGAATTCGCTGCTGCTTCCTACAAAAGCCTGCTTGTAGGCCGAGGTCGAAGTCTGCTGCACTGTATGTACACCACCGCTGCTTCGTGTGCGGAAATTTCCATTCTTCTTAAAACAGTTCCTGCTGAGATGTCCTTTTGATCCACATACGTTGCAACCAATACAATCTTTTCGGATGTGGTCTACTTTGCCGCACGTATAACATCCAGAAAAACTATTCTTTCGACGCTCATCTTGATTCGGTCTGTGGTTATAATTATTTTTCGGAAACGATGTATTTGACGACCTTCGTTTCATCAATAATGCCACAGCCATGTCCCCGGAGCTATCCTGTTCTTGAGTTCTAACTTCCTCAGTCATCAATCGCGCCGTCAAATTTTCAAGAGTTTTCTTCCTATCTTCCACGGAATCCCACGCACTGTGAAAGTGATTAAATTTCTTAGGTAATATTGACAATATGCGTGTCAATATCATGGAACCCGAAACTGCACCACCAAGACTCTTCATTTTAGTCGTCAGCTGTTCAACATTTGCCAAGTTATGACTAACACTTTCACCAGAGTCCCACTTAAAATCAAAAAATTGTTTTTGCACAATTGATAAATTTTCGTCAGATTTCATATCGTAAACTGCATTAAGTTTCTCCCACATCTCTCGTGCAGTTGTGCAACTCAAGAGTAAGTCAAGAGGTTTTTTCTCTACTGATGTCACGATCAACCTGCGAGCTGTTTTATCAGCCTTTAAAAACTTCTGTAGGTTGACTTGATAATTTACTGAGTCTTCAGCTGGACGGTCCAGTTTTCCTTCGCACACATTAAGCGTATCATCGTCTTCCTCTAACAATGTGCGTATAACGAAACGCCATTGAAGCCAATTATCACTGTCACGGAGCTTTTCTATTTTTAAATTCATAGACTCCATTTTCAATTTTTGCACAACTCACTGCACTTTCTAATCGAATTATTTACCCTGATAACTTGTGTGAAAATCTGTGCCCATAACCTATTGAAGGGTTATGTAAATAAATACTCGCGTAGAGTATAGTGTGTAAATAATTATGTATATTTAGAAACGGTGGAAAGAAGACTTCTGCACAAGACGGGTGCACAGTTAGAACTAAGCAAAATACGGCGACAGTTCGTACAAAACATACCTGGAAACTCGCAGGCGTCTCCAAACCTTAATTTACCTGAAGTGCAATAAAAGTGAAAGGGAACAGGTTTCGACTATTTCTCAACATCTGTAGGATGTGGAGTTTTTCCATGACATGTACCTCAACACTTAGCTCCGCGGTAAAACGCTTCACTCATAATCTAACTGTCCATGGTTCCCAACTTTTTTTTTCTTTTTTCTTTTTAATGATAATTTGTCTCTTTTTGAATAACTATTACAACTGTGCTATAATCATTGCATTTATTAATAGGTAATTAATTTTCATAGAATTTAAGTTATCTTTTCTATCCAATACGTACATTAACACCCTTATCGCATTCAAAATTTACACGCGTTTATTTGTTATTATTTGTTTTTACAAGTTCAATTTATTTAATTATATTTATTTAGTTACATTCATTTATACTACAGTGCAAATTTATAATTTATATTTACAACATTAGAAGAAGACGCAGAAGACATTAGTGAAGAATCCAAAACAATAGGACAGAAATTATATTCGTATTTTATGCAAATTAATTGTGTGTGTGTGAGTGTATAATAACAAATAAACGCGAGTAAATTTTGAATGCGGTAAGGGTGTTAATGTACGTATTGGATAGAAAAGATAGCTTAAATTCTATAAAAATTTCAGCACATGTAATTAATTACCTATTAATAAATGCAATGATTATAGCACAGTTGTAATAGTTATTCAAAAAGGGACAAATTATCATTAAAAAGGAAAAAGAGAAAAGAAAAAAGAAAAAAAAAGTTGGGAACCATGGACTTGAACCGTGGACAGTTAGATTGCGTGTCAAGCGTTTTACCCCGGAGCTAAACATTTATATGCCTTAGTTTGTCATGCTTCGCAATGTAAGGAGTAACTAACTTTAATTGTTAATATCTTTTAAACAATTAGCCGTCTGCCCCCAAAAGGGGGTATAGGCGTGTTCAGGGCGACGAGCTCTACAAGGTGGCAAAGTTTCATTAATAAGTGAGCGTAACACTTGGCTAATTCCCCTCGTCAGTAGCATAGATTCTTTTATCGGCAAGGCGGCAAAGGTTCCGCGTCGGACCCGGAGCGCTCGACTACCGGTTCGCAGCGGTTCTCATACCTGTCAGGTTCGCTACCAAACCTAACGAGCGAGCGAAAGCAGAAGCTCCTTGGATACGACCTACTAGTACACTGGCTCTAGAGCGACGATACCATCCTGCAGTGTTCGCTACCAAGCTTAACGAGCGAGCGAAAGCAGAAGCTCCTTGGATGCGGCCTATCAGTGACGACTAAGTTGCTCAGAAATCGTACTGCGGCCGAACGAGTCAGCTCCTACAGTGTCGGAACGGATCCTCGCCAATTTTCCGACAGTCGATCAATTTATTTAAATAATATTATTTTATAAATTCAAATTATAGATTTAGAGTTTTGATAATCGTATCTAAAGCCGCGTTCACTAATTAATTTATTTTCCTTTTGTATTTCAAAAACAGGGCGCAAACTTTTGTACATTAATTAATTAATTCTTTATTTAAATCAATATCTTTTATATTACTTATCTTTTTTTTTTATATATTATAAACAAACACATTTCTTGAATGAACTCATTATTATTTTTGAGAAAGGAATTAACGTTGGATTTTACTCCTTTACCGCGTGCCACCCGAACCTATAATCCCTTCATAATAAAAATACGAGTCACCTTCTTGCAAGGGAACCGCTCTCCCTACGCGTCGGTGCAGTAGCGTACTCGTGATTATATTCCGGGACGTTACACAAGTGTAACGACCCAGAGATAGGTACGTCACTGCACCAACGTATAGGCAGAGCGGTTCCCCAAGAAGGCGACTCGTATGAATGGATTCATACCAGGGATTGGACTCGTATCAGCGATTATAGGTTCGTGTGGTGTGCGGTTGAGGAGTAAAATCCAAACATTAATATATCAAACTAAAGATTTATTCAAGTAAGTAAACTAACTATGCTTGTTCTGAGTATAATATATAATAATAACGCTAGTACAACAATGTGTGCGGGCTAGAATAGAAATATAATAAGAAATTATAATAAGTACGCCCTAGATCAGAAAAAAGAATGAAAAATATATGATTAGTAATTAGTATATGAATTAGTACGCGGCTCTGACTATAGGTACAGCCAACACTCTGAATAATGACCAACTACGCTAAGTATTGGAAATTATCAACGACAGCAACTCGCACTATTCCCTCAGATATGAACGGACCACTCTACAGGTCGCAATCGGTTTCTGGGCAAGCCAGAGCTATGTGTAGTATAGGCCGAGATCAAGGAGCTCCGCTCCTCGCTAGCTCTTTACACTTGATAGGTGACTCTAAACCCACATGTAGTGAACGCGTTGCGCACCATGAGTAGAAGGTCTGTAAATCTGTAGAAACTTGTACTTATCGCTGTAAGGAATTTAATTTGGCACGGGTTACTCTGTCGCTATATCCCTACCTAAGTGGTTCAGCGCTGAGCAACCGTAGCCTTTCCTCTATTACTAGAGTGGTAGCTGCACTCGACCGAAGTCGAAGTCGAGCTGAGCATGGTCGAAACCAAACTGATTTTCTCCGCGTGGCACGCCTCTTTTTATAGTCAGATTTTGCTGACTTGGCGCTTTTTTTCTATATAGAATTCCTTTCGTTTTCTGGAATTCCCCATCACGTGATGGCCGAGCATCCCTGCTCCCTAATCTACGCGGTCTCCCTACTCTAAGACTTCACCCCACCGCGAGATCATCGGGGTTCCGCTGGCGCATACGTGGTTACACGTCGATCAATTATCGATATCGTAATTTACCGACCGACTTACCGACTAGACACTTATCGACCCTTACGACTGATTCTTAAATTGGGGTACCGCTGGAACGTTACACAAGTATAAATATTTTGAAAAATATATATAACTCAATACTTGGCTGGTTTTGCATGTGTTACGCCCCGGCGGAAAATTTGAGATTTATCCACCTTGCGTCCCTTATCAAGCCCTTTTTATCCGACTTCGAAAAGGAGGAGGATACTCAATTCGATGTGTATATATATATATATATATATATTTTTTTTTTTTTTTTTTTTTAATGTATGTTCACCGATTACGCCGAGACGGATGGACCAATCGGAACGAAACTTTTTGCATTGTTACGTCCCGGCGGAAAATTTGAGATTTATCCGCCCTGCGTCCCTTATCAAGCTCTTTTGGGTTGCAGAATCTCTCGTGTAAGGGGCGTACAGGCGGGTGTTTCGGTTTTCCGCCAACCTTTCCATTCCTCCTCGACCTTGTACATTCTTGTCAAGCCTTTCGAGGTTACGAGGACTTCTCATGCAGGGGTGTACAAGGAAGAGTTTGAGCTTAATTCTTTTCAACAGTTTACGTGACCCTCCTTGAAACTATCGTCGCCAGCCATTGTAATAGAACACCGTATTAACGCACAAAAACTCGGGTTAGCTCGAGAGAGAGAGAGAGAGAGCCGTAGCAATAACACCAGCGCTACGCAGTTAGCCAGTGCTTCGCATTTCGGGAATTTCCCTTGCTAACTGCGTAGAAACGGGAAAATCGTAATAACTCTTTTGTTAGAAACCTCTTTCTCACTCTGTTGCACAAAGCGTCAGCCGGTCCAACAAGGATCATCCTTACCTGATTGTAACGATAGTATGAGAGAGTGGATGGATGAAAACAAATTTAAACAATGAAAATGAGAATTGAGAACCCTTACGAAAGCGAACGTCGCGAACGTTCGACCGCCGTTCGAAAATCAAGGGTCGTTCGAAGCAATAAACACTATTGTATCGAAATTCTAAGAACTGCCTAGCAATAACGGCAAATTTTGAACAAAGGAACGTTCTCGAAGGAACGTTCGCCAGATTTAGAATTGTTCAAAATTCATAAAATGCGAAATGCCGAATTCATCGAGGCGATAGTTTTAATATGCGATAGATTGCATAATTCGCCACGGCGTTACAACCACCGTAAGCGCATCATCCGCTTTTAAACATATTAAATCATACTGTCTTTATTGCAAATCGGGAATGAATAATTTTGATCATGATATACGGATTACGGTTTCCTTTATCATAACCTGAATATTTCAAATTCAAATCTCATTCTACGATTAACCAAATCAATAGTTATATCTCAATTAAATGCAATTATACATGTAAAGAGAAATACTGCGTAGTATCTGAAAACCGTTGAAACTATCTTGGCGACGAACAAGAAAAGGAAGGAACACCAAAGAAAGGGGATGAAAGATCTTCGTCTAGCTCGCGCGTCTTAGCCAATCACCGGGCACGCGACACTTCCGAAAACGGGCTACGATTCGCCAAACCGTCCCCTCCAAGGACGATGTTCGCGCGACGGGCCCTTCGGCCATCGATCGCGCACGAAATTTGTCACTCTTGATCGATCAATCGTAAGTACGTGATCGGGAGCCCGTGTGTCCGAGAGACAGAGTTGTTCGGAATTTCGTGATAGATTTCCTCTGCGGTAAAGTCCTCCGC